GGATTCCAAGAAAGCCAAGCAGAATCTTCCAGACCTCTGGAGGGTCAGGCCTGGAAATGGTGCAGTCACTGCGTCCTGTTGGTCAGAGTCGTCACAGGGCCACCCAGAGTCAGGTGGCAGCTCAGAGCAGGTGCAGTTGGCTCTGATGGGAATGGCAGGGATTGTTGGTGGGCGGCCAGCTCGGAGACTGGTTCCCATGCCATCCTTGCCCGAATGGCTTAGTGGGGCCTGTTTGGAATCACTGCAGGGGGTCCCCAGGCACCTCACTTTTTCATTCCCAAATGAATGCCTTGTGAGGCAGGCCCTGGCTGTGTGTCCAGCCAGGCTATTGGTCATCAGGGGAGCATCCCAGCTGTGACACTGAGGTCTGCCCCTTTAATGAAGAACAGCTGAGCAGCTGGCTGGGTCACGGGCAGGGTGCCCAATTGCAGCCAGGAGTCTGTGGGAAGATTAGGCCCGTCTCTGAGTGGGCAAGTCGTGTGCCCGTTTATGGCTTTTAATATTCTGTATCTGACCTGAGGACTTGGGACTCACTGGGTTGTGTGGTCTTGTTCTGTTTGTGTCTTCTGTAGTTCTGAGTTTTTAGGGTCTTTCTTAGAAGTAGCTTTAACTAAGGCCCACATTTATTGTCCTTCCAGCAAGATGAAGTAAGGAGGGTGGGACCTGGATCCCACACTCGGGCTTGAGTGAAGGGTACCACACACCACGGGTAGAGCCGGTGGAAACTCACAGTGGTGATGAGAAGCAGACTGGCTGCTGAGCTCATTACGGTGTTTAAAGCCTCAGACAGGGACCCCTCATCACGTGCACTCAGGACGGCCAGCTCCCACCTCCCTGCCCGTGGCGCCCAGTTGTCCCACTGTGTGGCCCAGGCAGGTGCATCATTTTCCTGGATGCCTCTAAGCTTTGCCACATCCTGGTGGGTTCCTGTCCCTGCAGAGTATAAAAGAGGATGCAGGAGGCAGTGGGAGGATTGCCGTGATCTTTCTAGAGCATTTCACGTAGGTTTAGAGGTGGGCTACCACCTGATTCTCGTCAGCCTTTCTGCGGGAAGTACCACGTCAGCTGGCCCCTCACCTGCTCAGCGCATCACCTGGGGCAGAGAAGGCGATGTCGGAGTTGTTTTGCAGGCAGCCAGCTGGTGGTGAGAGCTAGCTGGAAGACAGCCTGGGGCATCTGAGCCCCACTTGCCCTGGGGGTGTGCGTGTGCCCGCGATGATAAATCCACAGTGACGCTGACAGTGTCTCTGTGGGCGACACCATTTAGAGCTTGGCAAAGCCCCCCAGGGCTGCGCTCACACTCCCTGTGGGGCTGATCACAGGAATGGGCTCTGAGCATATGTTAAGTGCTGCTTATCTATTTATGGAAAGGGCCTTTTTCTTTCCTTCCTTGTAGGCCCTCTCCTTCCCCTTTTGCCTCTTCCTCTATCTCTTGGTCCTCTCCCCGTGTCTTCTCTCTTCCTTTTCTTTCTTTGATTGTGTCAGAGCAGATGCTCTGTTAGGAGTATTTCTCTGTTGGAATGGCTTCGCAGGCTGCCTCAGAGGAATTCGGGCCCCTGGGTTTTTCCTCCGGCACCCACATTTGGGGAGGAGCCACTTCTGGGCGGGCATCTCCTATCGGAAGAGTGCGGGTTAGCATTGGGTGGAAAACATTACTCATGGCACACAGCTGCTCTCCTGTGTGTGGGCGGACAGGGGACTCGGAGGTGCCGAGCCAGCATCCACCCTCTCCCAGGGACCTTTACCAGCCTTCCCCCAAGGCCTCTGAAAACGAGAGCTCCTGCCTTGTGCCCAGGAGAGCTGGGCTTCGCTGCCCTTCCCTAGAAGCTCTGGGCTGTGTGGCAGCCTTGGGTCCCTAACCTTTGAGCCGGCAGCCCCTCCACCCTGTTGGCTAGGAGTCTTTTCTCACCTTTATCTCCCCTGCAGGTCAGATGGATTTATGGCTGGAGGGTTCTGCTTTCGCCAGGCTCCAGCTAAGGGGTGCTGGGAAGAACTCTGTACCTCCAGGGGTTCAGCTAATGCTCCCCAGTTGTTTCTGAGCTAGGAGATATTTCCTCCCAGCTCAGTTTTTGGGTTGGCTCCTGGTAAAGCTGAGGGAGCCAGGCCCACTGCCAAGACGGAAGGGTTTGCGCCTGACTTGAAAGGGCTCGTTCTGAAGCTGATTGAGGATTCGGCCCTGGTGGGCCCTCCCTTTCTGCACTTGGGAGGTATTTCACCTGGGGCTCCTGAGGACATAGAGGGTGACTGGTGATTGGGACTCAGAGGCCGCCCACACACACATGCACACACCTGTCTGCCCTTGTGGCTTTTTCCACAGCTGAGAGGAGTCAGCCCTGGGGATGAGCTGGCCCGTCCGCTCCTTGCTCCTGCCTGTTTCTGTTTACACTGTGTCTGGTGTGTCCTCTCTTCAGGTCCCAGGCCTCCCTGGGTGTTTAGCTCACGGACTGGACATTGGTTCTTTTCCATGTTCTCCCAAAACCTCTCTTTTAGCTTTTACCTGCTCAGGAACAGAGCAGCCAAAATTCTCCCTTGCATTCCTTCAGGTCATAAATGGGAACTTGCTTTTTCCGGGGATTGACGATCGAGAGAAGGATGCCTTTAGGAGGTGTCCTGTGCCAGTGTCGGCCTTTGCTTGGTGGCTCCGTGCTGCTGCTGCTGCTGGTTTGGCTCGGGAGGTGGTTGTCCAGACACGGAGTGCCCACGCTGTCTCCTACCTTACCTCTTGACTCCGGTGCTGGCCTCTGGCCCTTCCTGCTTATTCTTTAGAGCCCCAGCCACAGGCCCTTACGATATGACAGAGTATTACTGAGAGGCCCAAGAAGTCGAGCCTCTGTCTGGGAGCTTGTAAGTGGAGGCTGGGACCAAAGGACAGTCCTGAGATGTTGGAGGGAGAGAAAGGGTGTTTCCGGGTCCCCAGCAGCGGCAACTCTGGACTCACGACTCAGAGGCTGGCACCCTGTGACACGTGGCCTGTTGCCACTTCCATATTCCCCCTTACTTGATGGAGTACTGCTCACCTACCATGTGACGTCCCCTAGCTCAGCAAATACATAGGCCCCCCTTTTCTTTTTTTAAAGATTTTTAATTGGGAAATTGGGGGAGGGGAACAGCATTCGGGAATCAGGGGAGGGTAACAGACAAGTTGCTGTCGTTTTGTTCTTCAGTCTAGTTGTGGAGGACGTTGCTTCACTGGCCCAAGTTGGCACCATCATTGTGCTCTTCCCAGGTGAGGCAGATCAGTCACTGGCTTCTGGACGGCCGCTCATTGCGGCTGCTGGCCGCTCATGCTGGCCGCTGGCTACCCACGGTAGCCCATGGCAACCCACTGCCACAGGGACTGCAGCCTACGCCGTTGCCGTGACTCACAGCAGTCCAGCTCCAGGTTGAGCTGTTGTTCAGCATCTTAGCTGTAGAGGGCAGTGTCACTGGCCCTCATATGTGGGATCTGAACCGGGGCCCTCTGGCGTCCCAAGCCAGCTCCCAACCAACGCGCCACTCGGCCGGCCCCATAGGGCCACTTTTGAAAAGTTCCCAGACACCACGGGCGAGTGAGTGGGCTGGCTTTGTGTCCCTCAAAGCTGATCTGTGCTGCCTAAGCCATGTGTGTGCGAGGAGTCAGGGTGTGTGGCTTTTGAGGTGGCTCATCACAGCCAGAAAAGCCATACATGGTCACTGCAGCTCCAGGGCTACAGCTTGGTGACTCACCCCCAAGAGGCTGATGTAACAGGGGAACAGCCAGTGAGGGGCTACTGAAACCTGGGGGCTGGGAGCCTCAAAGTGCCCTCCTCATCAGCCCAGAACCAGCCTGGGGCAGCTCTGAGCAGACCGGCCTCAGAGAAGATTCTGGAAGAGCTGGGAGAGAAGCCACTGCCACTGTGATTGGATTCTGGGCCAGGGTGGGACAGTCTGGCACTGTCGGATCTCTTATCATGTGGTCCCAGGGCATTTACTTTTATTTTGAAATTGGCTCTTTCTCAAAAGGAGGACTTGCTTATTTTCCCTAGAAAATGCTGGCATGAGACTGGCTGGTGTGGTGTTGAGGGGGAGGGGAGAGCTATTTCAGATACTTATTTAGTCATGGCTTGTGCAGTTCATGCTCACTGGGCACCAGGCCATGGAATTTTTCTGAGCACTTTTACTTGAGACAGTTGTGGGATTTCCAGGCATTAAGTGGGGCCTTTGACAGAGAAACTGCAGCCAGGCCAACAGCTCTTGGGGTCAGGATCAGAGTTCATTCTTTCTCCAGGGACAGCCTGGAGGTTTCTGGAGGCAAAGGACTCCCCAGCTTTATGTAGTTCCCTGAGCCTGTGAATCAGAGAGAGGGAGGGAGGGAAGGAGGGAGGGGGAGAGAGAGGGAGAGGGAGAGGGAGAGGGAGAGGGGGAGAGGGAGAGGGGGAGAGAGGGAGAGGGAGAGAGAGAGAGACACACACGAATGGAGAACCTTCTGGAGAGCTCAGCCCGGACTGTGGGTACCGCAGGAAAGGGACCGACTCCTAAAACGCTGAGTATGACACATCTCCATTCCCACCACACATTTCACCTGTGCATGACAGAATTAGAAAAATAAGGACAAAATAGAAAGGTTTTCCTAAAGCCATGTGTATCCAATTGAAAGATCTGTCCTTTATTCAAAGATTGTCATAAATTCTTTTTGTAAAAAATGTTAAACTGACCATGTTTTTTGTAAAAACGCTGATAGTAATCAGTGTTTGCTTTTTGACTTTTTAATGTCATTACCTGGCAAGATACAAGGATGGCTGTTTTGTGTTGGCCCCTCAATGCTTCGTTTGGGGAACGTTCCTGGCCAGTGAACCCAGGGATCTAGGAGCCTCTGGTCGGCCTTGGCTTACAGAGGGCTAGCTGGAGTTGTTTGCCCTCCATGGACTTGTTTTAATCCTCCTTGTCTCCCTGCACCTCTCACCTGGGAGTGCTGGGGCTGTGTCCAGGCTGACCGGCGTCCCTTCTCCATGCTAACACGAAGGCCCTTTGGCTCTCCCCAGCCATGGATTTCCCCCAGCACAGCCAGCACGTCTTGGAGCAGCTGAACCAGCAGCGGCAGCTGGGGCTTCTGTGTGACTGCACTTTTGTGGTGGATGGTGTTGACTTTAAGGCCCACAAGGCGGTGCTGGCAGCTTGCAGCGAGTACTTCAAGATGCTCTTCGTGGACCAGAAGGATGTGGTGCACCTGGACATCAGTAACGCGGCAGGTACCCCGCTGGTTGAGGGCCGGAAGCGGTGGCTGACCCTGTGCCATGCCAGGCCCTCCTGACACAGCCCCTGCCCCCCTGGGAGCAGCACCTTCAGGCTGTGGGGTGCGCCAGGCCTCCCACACAGGACCCATGAGTGTGTGGGTACCAAGTTCCTACCACGTTTTGGGGGCCTGTTGTGGCAGAGCGGGTGGCAAGGGGAGAACTGGCAGGAAGGGCCGATGATGAACTCCAGGCGTGAACACGGGACAAGCTCATCAGGAGGGACAGCACAGGTGGGCTCGGAGCCCCCAGCCCCTTCCCCTTCCATCGCTGGATCGGTCTGAACCCCCTATTCCAGTGCTCACCATGATGGGGTGGCAAGGGCTGGGGCCGGGAGGGCTGGCAGGAAGGCCCTGGGGTTGAGGAAGGAAATGGCGGTCATCATTTTGGGCTCCCAACCCAGAATGGCGTGCCGTGCCGTGAGAAGGTCGGGCAAGGTCATGTTGTCCCATTTTGTAGATGTGGAAACTGAGACCCAAAGAGATCAGGTGACTGGCCTGGAGGTCAGAGAGAGAGTTTGTGGCAGAGCCCTGATGAAAGCCGGTGCGGACACACTGGTTGGAGTGTCCTCCGGTAGTGAAGTGGTTAGTGGCAGGGTAGAGAGTGTACAAGGGTGGGCATTTACACCCTCTCCTCCATGCAGGGAGGGCTTTCACACCCTCTGTCCTCCATTTAATCCTCTGTTCTCTGTGCAGGGAGGGCTTTCATACCCTTTGTCCTCCGTGTAGGGTGTGTGTTCACACCCTCTGTCCCCCATGTAGGGTGAGCATGGCGTTCACACCCTGTCTTCCATGCAGGGTGCACTTCACACCCTGTCCTCTGTGGGTGTATCCCTGTTCAGAAGTTGTCTGGGCTGAGTCCACAGGTTGCCTGCCTCTCTGCCAGCACAGGAGATGGGGAGATGGTGGCCTGCCACTGTGCTTTTCACAAGTCCATGGACCCCGCCGCCGAGTGGAGCGGCTGGCAGGCTGCTGGCGCCAGGCCTTGAGGTGGGTCTGTGATGGCTGTCTGTGTCCTTGGCAGGCCTGGGGCAGGTGCTGGAGTTTATGTACACGGCCAAGCTGAGCCTGAGCTCTGAGAACGTGGACGATGTGCTGGCTGTGGCCAGCTTCCTGCAGATGCAGGACATCATCACGGCCTGCCACGCCCTAAAGTCGCTCGCTGAGCCGGCCACCAGCCCCGGGGAGAATACGGAGGCCTTGGCCGTGGAAGGTAAGATTATTGGCAGGCATTCCTGAGCAGGTGGCTTTTGATGGGATCTCTGCCTCTGACCCTCCATCCGTGTTGCCTCTCTGGGTCTCAGTTTCCTCCTCTGGCCTTGCCTGCGTTCTGGGGTGCTGGTGAGGGTTAGCGGCAGCAAAGTCTGAGAAAGGCTCTGGCAGGAGCCCTTCGCCCCCACCCCCAGCTTCTCTAAGAGGCGGGCATTTGATGGGAAATGGCAGGTCTGTCCCGTTTCATTTCTAGGAGGGGACAGGAGAGCCAAAGAGGAGAAGGCTGCTACTACTACACTGAGCGGACTGGACTCAGCCGGAGGCAGTCCACCCACGGGCCCAGGCAGAGAGCCCAAAGAGGAGCGAGGCGGCCAGGCTGAGAGTGCGGCCAGTGGTGAGTTGTGACGCTGAGGACCAGCCCGCTGTCCCATCACCTCCCAGCAGCCTGGGCCCCAGTGCAGTGAGGGGCTTCCTTGGGAGGCTCCTGGGGCTGAGAAGAAGGGGGCATAGGCAGCTACACCCCTTGAGTTCAGGTTACCCAGAAGGACCCACTGTTGGTTTTGGGGTTTCTGTTCCAGCCAGAGCAGAGGCACAAGCAGCCTGAGCTTAGATGTGCTGGCCCCACCCCGAGCCAGAGCCACTACCAGGATCCTAGTTCAGGAGAGCCATCTGGGCCCTAGAGAGTCTCAGTCCAGCCTCCGATGTCCCCATCTCCACCCCAGGTGCAGAGCAGACGGAGAAGGCTGATGCCCCCCGGGAGCCACCGCCAGTAGAGCCCAAGCCTGACCCCACGAGTGGCATGGCTGCTGCTGAGGCCGAGGCTGCCTTGTCAGAGAGCTCGGAGCAAGGTACCTCCACCGAGCCCTGGCCAATGCCCACTCGTGTCCCCCCCCAGGTCCCTCTCCTCGTACCTTCAACTGACCCCAGTCTAAGCCACCCTTTCACTTCAGCTTTTGGATCGACATCTTTTCTGATTCTCGAATTTGGACATCAGTTTCTTGGTTGTGCACCCTGCCCGTGCTTCCCATTAGCCCAGAAGCGCTGCTGACACAGGGCTGGCACGTCTGACCAGGTGCAGAGCACCATAAGGGAGCCTTGCAGCCCACAGCCTCCGCCCCCCGCCCACCCCTAGCCCTTGTTGGCTGACGGCGCCTTTCCTGCTGCACAGCCCGCTGGGGACCCCTGTAGCCTGCTGCATCTTCCCAGCAACAGGTGTCCTGGTCAGCAGTCCCCCCCTGGTGCTGCCCTGACCAGTGCTGGGACCATTTATCAGTGGCGCCCAGACATTGCCAGGCCCCTGCTAGGTGCCCACGTAGAGACGGGGGTGTGTGCCGAGATGACGTGGCCAGTCCTGGCGTTTGCCTGACTCTGAGGTCACTTCCCTGTGGAGGCACCCTCTGCCCTCCCAGGCGCCTCAGTTCCTGCCCTTCTCCTGGCAGAAATGGAGGTGGAGCCAGCCAGGAAAGGAGAAGAGCGAGAAGAGGAGGATACTGTGCCTACTATGGTCAAGGAAGAGGGGCCGCAGCTGGAGAAGGGAGAGGCCCCCGAGGAGAGCGAGGAGTCGGCCAGCACGGACTCAGGCCAGGAGCTGGGCGCAGAGGCCCGGGGCCTGCGCCCGGGTACCTACGGTGACCGCACAGAATCGAAGGCCTATGGCTCGGTCATCCACAAGTGCGAGGTGAGGCCGCCCCGCCCCCCGCCCCGCCCCCGGTCCTCGTCCCACCCCCTCACTCCCGCTTTCCCGCGCCCTGCAGGACTGTGGGAAGGAGTTCACGCACACCGGGAACTTCAAGCGGCACATCCGCATCCACACAGGCGAGAAGCCCTTCTCGTGCAGCGAGTGCAGCAAGGCCTTCTCCGACCCAGCCGCCTGCAAGGCCCACGAGAAGACGCACAGGTACGTCCGGCGCCCCGCCCGGCTGCGCGTCCCCGCGGGCCTCGGACCCCAGCGACCCCTCCTCTCCCTCCCGCCCTCCAGCCCGCTGAAGCCCTACGGCTGCGAGGAGTGTGGCAAGAGCTACCGGCTCATCAGCCTGCTGAACCTGCACAAGAAGCGGCACTCGGGCGAGGCGCGCTACCGCTGCGAGGACTGCGGCAAGCTCTTCACCACGTCGGGCAACCTGAAGCGGCACCAGCTGGTGCACAGCGGCGAGAAGCCCTACCAGTGCGACTACTGCGGCCGCTCCTTCTCCGACCCCACGTCCAAGATGCGCCACCTGGAGACGCACGACACCGACAAGGAGCACAAGTGCCCGCACTGCGACAAGAAGTTCAACCAGGTGTGTGGGCGCCGCCCCAGCGGGGGCCCAGGCCCCGTGCGCGGGGGGCGCGCGGCAGAGGCAGCCGCCGGCGCGAGGACCCAGGCTTGGTGGGAGAAGTAGGTGGCCGAGTGGAAAGTGACCCTCCCGGGGGACGGCGCCCTGGATGGGAAGGCAGGCGAAGTCAGGGTGGGCTCTGGACCAGAAAGAAGTGGGGCGGGGATGGTGTCCGTCCCGCTGCTGGGACCTGGAATGCCCCCGGCCTCGGGAGAGGTGCAGCTAGCCGCAGGCCCCGGGCAGGACCAGAGGCGGTCGCTCCCTGCCGGGAGAGCTGCTGAGACCCAAGGCCGGTTCCTGCTGGGTGACGTCTGACCGCCGCCCGGCACAGGTGGGGAACCTGAAGGCGCACCTGAAGATCCACATCGCCGACGGGCCCCTCAAGTGCCGCGAGTGTGGGAAGCAGTTCACCACCTCAGGTAGGGCCAGGCTGCCCGGCCGCCCCGCGCCCCCCCGCTCCTCAGCCACGTCGTGGCGCCCACGCCAGGCCCCCCTCGGTCTCCTCAGGGAACCTTAAGCGGCACCTCCGGATCCACAGCGGGGAGAAGCCCTATGTGTGCATCCACTGCCAGCGGCAGTTTGCCGACCCCGGCGCCCTGCAGCGGCACGTCCGCATCCACACGGGTGGGTGAGCACGCCCAGGGGGCCTGGGGCCGGGCCGGGCGCCGGGGGCGGCGGGGGCCCCAACGCCTTCTCCTGCCCCCCCCCCCCCCAGGTGAGAAGCCGTGCCAGTGCGTGATGTGCGGCAAGGCCTTCACGCAGGCCAGCTCCCTCATCGCGCACGTGCGCCAGCACACCGGCGAGAAGCCCTACGTCTGCGAGCGCTGCGGCAAGAGGTCCTGCCCCGGCCGGCCAAGGGGGTTGGAACACAGACTAGGGCTCGGTGGGGGAACCCGGCCGACTGCTGCCCAATCCCGCATAGATCCGGGGTCCCCTTCAGTCTAGAAGACGAGGCAGGAGGCCCAGCCCATCTCCCCTGGGAACAGGCTTGGGCAGTTCAGTGCCGACCCCTCCCTCTGCGGCCCTACAGATTCGTCCAGTCCAGCCAGTTGGCCAATCACATTCGCCACCATGACAACATCCGCCCCCATAAGTGCAGCGTGTGCAGCAAGGCCTTCGTGAACGTGGGGGACCTGTCCAAGCACATCATCATTCACACTGGTGAGCATGTACCCGCCTGCCCAGCCCCCCGTCCCAAGCCCTGCTCTGGGTGGAGGTGGTGGGAAGGGAGGTACCCCCAGATTCCAGCCTTGGGTGCTCACACTTGCCGTTAAGTGGCTTTGAAGGCAGTTATGAGGACCCCACTTCCTTAAGAGCTTCCAGGAGGTGCAGGGGCCCCTGGAGGCTTCTGTGCAGCTCTGGGGGCTGCCCCAGAGCACTTCCTATTGGAAAAGACAGGGCTGCTGGGGGAGCTGGAGGCCACTGAGGTCCCCCCTCCCCCAATGGCAGGAGAGAACCTTGCCTCCCCCCCCAGGAGAGAAGCCTTATCTGTGTGACAAGTGTGGTCGCGGCTTCAACCGGGTGGACAACCTGCGCTCCCATGTGAAGACTGTGCACCAGGGCAAGGCAGGCATCAAAATCCTGGAGCCAGAAGAGGGTGGTGAGGTCAGCGTGGTCACTGTTGATGACATGGTGACGTTGGCCACCGAGGCACTGGCAGCAACAGCCGTCACTCAGCTCACAGGTGCGGGTTAGGGGCAGCAGAGGGTGGTCACGGGCACCTTGCCTCTGGGTTGGCCCTGAAGGGGCAGGTGCCTCTGGCCTTAGGCCCTGCTGATTCTGCCCACAGTGGTACCAGTGGGGGCTGCTGTGACTGCCGATGAGACGGAAGTACTTAAAGCCGAGATCAGCAAGGCTGTGAAGCAAGTACAAGAAGAAGGTGAGGAGGCTGCCCAGGGCGCGCAAGCTGGTGGGCCGCAGGGTCCTGCCCACCCTGACTGTGGCACCCACCTCCACAGATCCCAACACCCACATCCTCTATGCCTGTGACTCCTGTGGGGACAAGTTCCTGGATGCCAACAGCCTGGCCCAGCATGTGCGGATCCACACAGCGCAAGCACTGGTCATGTTCCAGACGGATGCGGACTTCTACCAGCAGTACGGGCCAGGCAGCACGTGGCCGGCCGGGCAGGTGCTGCAGGCTGGGGAACTGGTCTTCCGTCCTCGGGATGGGGCCGATGGCCAGCCCACTCTGGCAGAGACACCCCCCACAATCCCAGAATGTCCACCGCCTGCCGAGTGAGCAGGCATCCTTCCTCCTGACTGTTTATTTAAGGATGGGTGGCCCCATTCCCTAGAGAATAAATTTGATTATTTTCTAATTCTGACTATAGCTCCCTGTGAGGATGGGGTGGGGAGCTGGCAGCTGTGGCTGATGTCCCAGAAAGGCTGCTCCACCCAAAGACCAGCCAGCTGAGACCTGCTTCTTGGGAATGCCAGGCTGTCCCTTCTGCAGAATGAGACTGGAGCCCTAGGATCTTTCTAGAAGCAAGCTGGCTGCTTTGCCTGAGTCAGTGCAGGCAGCACACACGGGGCCAGAGCACGTGGCTCCATTGCACCCCATCCCCTCATCCAGTCTCCTTTGGAGGCTTTTTCACCTGTTCACCTTGAGGACCCCACCTCCCCTATCTGCCATGGACCTCAGCTGTGACCCTGCTCCCTCTCTGCCTAGGGGTTGGGAACTGAGCCAGCAGGAGCTGGTCATACTGCTTACCGGGATCCAAGCAACCCAGAGAGCCCAGCTGGAGCCATTCAGCCAGAGTAGCTAGGTGGCAGAGAGCCCGGCCCAACAGGCCACGGGCCTGGTTCTAGTGGGCTTGGAACAGCAGCTGGATTCTGCACTCACTTCACAGTAACCCTGGCCTGAGGATCAAGGCCAACCCAGTGCCATGTTTTGGGAATACTTACTTGCCCTGAATCAATGGAATTGCTCCCACCAGTCGGAGGGCCTGGAAGAACAGTGAGCAACCAGAAGCTCTGATGGGGAGGTGGGGGACACGGCACCATGCACACTAGGAGCTGCCTGCAGGGGAACCTAAGATGCCCTCTCTGCCCCTTTTCCGCAGTTCGCCCCCAGCAGCTGTAATCCCTAAGAGATGGTGCCTTCTTGCACCGAAAGTATAGGTCTGCCTGGAGGAGCCCCTTGGATATTGCAAGTGAGACCACCAACTCCATGGCCCCTGTTCCCATCCCCGCTTAATCCCCCAGCCTGTAGTTCATGCAGCTGCGGGGGGAGCCTGGTCTGCCGCTCCATCCTGTTAGCAGCTACAGAACACCGTCAGGCCAGGCTGTGCCATTGCCATTGTGCCACTGCTGCCAGCACCGTCACTGGAGTTGAGGAAGGGGCAAGAGACGACACCAAAGCTCACTCAAAGGTTTCTGAGTTTGCTTGAGGGGGTGGTTTTACCTGTATCCAAATTTGAAGTGCCTTCCACATTATCCAGGAATCAGTTTGGTCCTTGAAGTGTCAGATATTTACAACGTAGCACTGAAAACTGGTTCAAGTCAGTCTGTAACGAAAATCTCTTGAACAAGTTAAAATGATCTTTGGGGAGATTAAGTGGCAGAAAGGAAATAGGTCCTATATACAGACTGGGGGTGTGAGTAGGGGGAGAAAACAAAAGTGAGATGAGAGCTAGCTATTCCTCATAAGCCAAGGACACTTGGTCCTGCCACCCAAGTGACAATCACATCCACACTTGACATGTTTTGTATTTTTTAATAAAGTTTGTAATCCAATGGACACACAAAACAAAACTGTGCTGAGAAAAACAGTTTCATAAATTAATAAGTGTTAGGAAGTTGAGGGGAGAGGTCAAGGTCACAGGAAAAGGGAAGCCAGTCTTTTTTGTACAGTCTGTGTGTGTGTGTGTGTGTGTGTGTGTGTGTGTGTGTGTGTGTGTGTGTGTGTGTGTG